AGGAATTAAGTTCCGATGCACTATAACCAATATTTACCTCTAATTAATTCAACAAATGATAATAACTTCTGAAATTATTTCTCTCACTCTACGACATAATTGAAAACATGAGAGATATATAGTGAGAGATTTTGTAAAATTTATTTGTTTGATTATGAAGCATATATTTTATTTTATTTTATTAATGAATGATGAAACTGGACAATATTTTTGGGAATTGGACTAATAAAGAATAACTTTAGGAAAAAAAATAGACCGGTTTATTGTTCTTTTATCATTTGGTTTTATAGAAAACTCAAAATTATATTTTTCTTTTGAAAAGAAAAAGTAAAATGGCTAACTTATTATATTAAAAGAAAATTATAGCATTTATTAGTTATCAATTTATACGTAAAAAAAAAATCAAACAAACAACCATATCACACCAACCAAACCAGGTCATTCCTTTAAAATAATTCGATCTTAAAAATGTTTTTTATTTTTTTAAAATGAGTTTAAAGACTGTAAGGGTATGTAAAATTAATAAAAGGACCTTTTGAAGCTTACGTGCGACAGCCAAAAAAAATAAAAATAAAAACTAACGATAACAGAAAAATATATTAAAATATAATAGTAGTTGAGTAAGAAAATTAAATAAAAGTAAAAAAATACAGAAGGCAACTAAATAAACTTATAATTTATAACTTATAAATTTTTAAAATACCTGAAATATTTACCAAGCATTTTTTTTTGATTAGTCTACTATATAAACTAGTCTCTAGAAGTTAACTTATTTGTTTTACCAAAATTTATATACATATACCTCTTAATGGTCAGTAGTCTTTTATTTACTTAGCGAAATAAGTGAGGTGAAACTTCTAATCAGGCTAAAAGATTTTTCTATAATTTGATAACTTACTTTTTGAGTTATTTTTATAATATTCCATTTTACTGGCATAAGCTAATAAAATAAAATATTTGTTAATAATACTAAAAACAAAAAAAATTCATAATTTTAGAAAATTGTTATTACAATAGCTAATAAAATAAGATATTTACTAATAATACTCAAAAACAGAAAATTTACAACTTTGAAAAATTGTTATTACAGATATTTTAAGGTATAATTACAGTATAAGATATAAAGATATAATTTCAAAAAAATTATAGTACAGTAAAAGAGATGAAAGTTTTTCTCAATATTGAAAGAAAAGGAAAACAATGTATAATGAGGCGGCAACAATATTAATAATATGATGGAGTTGATCAACAATGATTATTGAAAAAAAAATAACACAAATAAAACAAAATAGAAAAAATGATAAGTTAATCTGTAAAAAAGTTCTCATAAATAAACATAGAAATAAACCTTTATTATTTTACAAAATCATTATCAATATGTTTTACTATGTTACACACAATATTAGTCTCATAAGATAACTCAATCAAGGAAAAAAATTGAAACTTAACTTACTCAAACAAATAAATTAATTTGTCCAAATTAAAAAATTTGTCACAATAATCAATCCTACAGTCTTAGTTCTTAAATCATAAAAACACAGAGTAAAAACTTTAAAAAAAATCAAAAAATTATAAAAAAAAAATTTATAAAAAAAAAATTTAAAATAATAAAACTTTTTTATAACAAAATTATTTATATTAAATTTTTTTAATATTAAAATAATTGTCTCATTATTTTTAAACTATTCTCAATTTTAGAATATCATCTCATGATTCTTTACAATTTTTGAATTGAAAGATCCAATTTTTATTTGAAAATTAGAAGTATAAGTGTAATTTTGAGCTTTCAATGTATAATAATCATCTAAATGAATATAATTCGAGATACTCTTTGCCGAACATGAAAAACAACAGTATTTTGAAAAGCTATAATATCTCTACATATAAACCCCAGGTATATTCCAATTAAAACTGTAAATAACTTGAGATAAAAGTTGTTATTTTTATTAAAATAATAAAATTTAAAATTACATTATAAGGTTTACTTCTATTTGAATATTAAAATTAAATAATATTTTTAATCGATACAAAATCTTTAACATATTTTTTTATGTTGAGATGATGAAACATGAAAATTGAAAAATATTTTTTGATAAATGATATGACAAAGTTAACAAACTATATTATAATAAAATATAAATGATTTAGACATCAAATTTACATTTATCTCAATCTAATTAAAATGACACACTAAAGTAAAGTTTCCACCCAGTTACTGTAATTGAATTTTCTATTTCTGGTATGAATATTTTTTCTTTCTATATTCAGAGTTCCCTCTAATGCAAAAGCTTTCACGACATGTTTTGATATATATATTTATGCTGAAATGGGATGAGTCGAAAGTAGTTTTTTCATTCTGGATTCTGGTTATTGATCGGTGTATGGGGTAACCTGTAGAACAAGTCAGAAATTTTCTTTGTAGGTTTTTAGAAATATAACAGTGAGTAAAAGTGACTTTATCTCGAAATTAAACTCTTACAGAGTTGATAATAATCTGACCAATTAATTTCTCTCTTAATGAACATTAATGCAAACTTTAACCACTTAACAAGAGTTATTGTGATATTAATTGCGTCTTAACTTTATTCAACTATTATTAAAATCGATCAATCTTTTATATCTAATTTGTCACCTTACCCAATCGGTTATCTACAAGTACATAGTAACATGTAAGGAATGCATGGATGGCATTTAAGTCATCGCATGCGTTTTGTAAGATATTTTATGCAGTATTTGTGTGAAATTATTTGGTGTGAATTGGGAAACAGCATAGCTATTTGTGCGTATGAATAACAGTTTGCAGCAGTTGTGAGAACCATCGTATATTCAAAATGGTTCTTTTCTTGGCTTTTGCCAGCATATTGACAGGAACAGTCACTAATATATATTGAAAGTTTGAAATAGCCAAACATGAAAACGATACTCCTATGACGTTGGTTATTGTTACCATATATTCATGCACTCTAACACTCGGGACCCTCCTTGGTATCCTTTTTATTCCAAATAAATAAATATCTTTACTTTCCATGTGCTTCTAATATTTAAAACATGCTCCAAATGAAATTTTCATCACACTAAAGTTCAAAGAAATTTTAAAACTTAGCAATATAGGTGGTGGCAGAATAAGATGACATGTATAATTGAAAATTTGAGGATTCATGCAATGTGTACCCAAATTCTCTTTTTCAAATTCTGTAATTCATTGCATTCTAGTCATTTTCTTCGGAGCTGCGAATCCTAAAGCCACCAGCTGGTCCCCCAACCTCTTACATTTTCCCTCTTTTGTCACAGCTGTCTCTTAACAACTGGAACAATGTATTATTAATTTAATCCAAAAATAATAGTATGTATAATATAATAAGCTCTAAATAAATCCTTTATATATCAACCAAAAGTAATTCCATAAAATTCATATAATGAAACACACAAATAAAAAGCACCAACAAGAATTTTTTTTATCTAAAACTGTTTACAAGTAGTCATTGAGTAATACTTTTACTCTTAGGACAATAATATTTTGACATTAAATTATTTTACACCCATTTGTTATTATCCTTTACTACTTTTTATTTTTTTTCTTTTTCTTTACAAATACAATTTTTTTTTGTATGACTAATTTACTTTTATATGAGTGTCCAATAACATTTTTTTTCCTCTTTACTCTTCGAGGACTCTAGGGTGGTAGAAGCTATTGAAGTATATGGACCGTGGAGTTATGGATATTATTGGACTTTAATGGAGGTTGGTTACCATTATAATTGGTTTGGTCTACAGAATCACTGTACCAACAAATATTGGGTACCATGGTAGACTTCTAAAGCAAATTAATGTGAATTGAATGAAGGAATATTAATATTTTGACCTCATTAGATTAAAGTCTATTTGTTACTAAATGATTATTTTTGTGTTAAAAGATAAAACAAACTAGGAGAATAAGAAACAATAGACCCTTCAATTGCTTACAACTCTCATAATTTGATCCCAGAAACATTAGGGTGAATTCTGGATATTAAGAGTACACTATGAGAGAAGTTCATGGACATAAAGATGTTGAAATAGCTTTATAAAACTTTCTTTTTATGAACAATATTTTCTACTTTAAAATTGTTTCTAATTTTTTTTTCTTGGATGCTTCTGACGTCTGAAAAGACGGAGGATGCAATTATCTAATTACGTGATTTGTCCAAAATTACTTTACAATCAATAATAATAATCATAAACACCAACATGAACCAATCATAGAATGACACGTAAATAGTGTAAAAATATTATCAAACAAATGTTGTCAAAAGTATCGATATCCTATCCGAAAGTGTGTGAAGAATAATGTTATTGCACATTATTTAAAAATGTTGAAACATTAATAAGTTCAATGCATAAGGTAATGTACAATTCGTTTGGTTACTATATTGGAAGACTACTTCGTTGAATTTAAATTTTTAAATAAGATAGAAATTTGCGTGAATTTTGGTTCATATTTCTTTATCAATTTCAGATTTACTTGTATACTACCGTTTGTGTTTATTTAGTATATGTTTCTGCATTTTTAAATACGTGCACCATTCCCGACTAAGTGATTGCCGTAAAGTTTCTTGCGAGACATTAATGAAAGCGTCATCATCATTAACTTTGAATCAGATTTTATAATCGTTAAAGATTTGCTCTGTTTTTCAATCATGTTCCCTTGTGCTTAATTACTCAACGGTATTCTCTGTTAATTTGAACGTACATGGTCAATGGGAAAATTGATGAAACCATTATTTTATAACTTCACAGAATTCTCCTTTAGATTCTGACTTTGCAAAACGTTATTCATTTTAATCGTTTTCTTTTTCACTTCACTTTCCATTGTTGTTTAGCTCAAAAAAAGTTCTAACATTTGTAAACTCAAGGACCAAAGTGAAAATTTCATATAATCAGTGGCTAAAATAGTCAGCATTTGCAGTGTCAGGGACTACTCAAGAAAAATCTAAAACCATCAAAGGTACTTATTAGTAAAGATGTTGGTTGTGCTCATTATTTTCTTACTCGTTTGAGAGATCTAAATACTCACGCAGATGATGAATTCCTTGAAATATTGGAGTATGTTGTTGTCAAAGAAGCTTCTAAACTAAATCATTTTTATCCGAGTTCACAAACTTCAAGTAATTTTCAGTCTTTTTGGCACGTCCGTGGCTTCCAAATCCTAAAGGGAAGCGTTTCTTATGAGTTTTTTGCTTTCTCTCACTTGTGGCAATGGCAAGGTCATCGGGAAAGAGGTCTCGGAGGACAAAGGCATGCACAATAGTCGAGACAAGCACTGTTGCTACTACGAATGTAGAAACGAGACTCAATATTACACTCAGAGTTTGAGTTACAACGTTTGTGACTTGATTTGTGTAGTTTATGGTAGCAATTGCAGCAGCAGTCATTGGAAAAGTGTAGGCCCACCATGAGATTGAGAATCTGCACAATCACACACAATGTGTCGGAAAAATCAACATAATGGAATAGCCAATGTTATGGATATTAACAAGAGTGTAGCTTACTTGAGTCCTCTGAAAAGATTGACCCGAACAGCCTGCAAAAGCATATGAAGTGAAACTGATAAGCAACTTGAATACTAAAATCGTTGATTGTGTAGTGGTGAAGTTGTGCAAACTATATTAGCCTCTTTTTCTAGACAATGAAAACTTAGAAAAAGCTTACCAGCGTGAGATATAGGAACATGGAAGTGAAATAGAAAATCCGAGATTCCAAATGAAAAGAACCCTGAATCTTGGCCAATGCCAAAGAAGCAACACTGGGTGGTGCAACCAAAAGAAAGAACACTGGATGGAGGTCCCTGGGGATGGTCTTATTTGTTGGTAGCATCTGTGAGAGAGTTACAAATATCACCATATAATGTGCAAGTCCAAGAGTCAAGAAAAAAATAGGTCCTTCTCTTAGGCCCATAGATGCACCCAATAAGGCTCCCACAAAATTTCCAACAAGTGCTAGCATATTTGTTGGATTGGCAACCTTTGAGAGCTTCCTTTTGCCCCCAAACATCCACTGTCCATATATCTTTAACATAAGGAAGAACAATGGAATCATTAGAATGTACCAAACCGCATGATGCAATTCTTTTGCAAACGATGAAGGAACTCCAAGAGCTAAGAACAAGAGGGATATCCATGGGGCAAAGAAGAAGTTAACACGAACTGCATGATGGTACTCGCGGCGAACTGCTTCAAAATAGAGAATCATTTTGAACAGATAGATGGCGAAAATAGTAGCAACAACAGCAACAGAGATAAGCCATAGCACGAAATTTATTTTCGGAGTTATGTGAAGAAATTCAGTGGAAGGTGACGTGGCCAATGCTTTCCATAGAATTGCTTGACTGCTAACTCCTAGACAAATACCAAAAGATGAAATCGGAAACCGAAGAAGGAATGGCCACTGCTTGTCCTGAGGAGGCACCATCTCTTCTGAAGACTTCTGAAAGAGTAAATCAAAGTGTAAAATTCATTAGGTAAACGCCAATGGTTAACTTACTATGTAATACTGAGTGTCCAAAAAGAATAATTAGGAAAAAATGGTTATGTTATGTTCGTCTACATAAGACTCAAATGGTTGAAACATCAGTAAAAACAGCATTGAAGGATTTCTAGGATGTGAAACATTTGTTACACATAGAAGAGTACGACTGCATACTTTAGGAGTTTGTACATGTGGATCTTCCAGTGCTTTCACGAACGAATCAACAGGTAAAGGGTTCTCAGTGTTGCTTAAGTTGTTATCGTCTTCTACACTTTGTGTATGTACCCTTCCATGCAGAATTGATAATTTCGCCTCAAGTTTACCGTACCATGTTTTGAAAAACTTAGTTCTCTTATCGTTCAACCTTTTGCTTGCTGCCTCTGGTTGCACGCTGCCATTTGGCATTGATTGTGATGGCATTCGTGGCTTGGAGTATGTAGTAGTTGATTCAGAAGAGAAAATGGGAGCCCCATTAAGATCAGTTTCACCACTGTAGGGAGCTCTCACGGTGTCATGTAGCTGAACCTCTTCACAATTTGATGGCATGTTGATAGATACTGAATGTTCCTGTTCATCACCTTGGCCTTTTCTTTCACTTTCCTGTTATTGGAAACAAATATCCTAACATTTAATCACCAAAACGGATGTAGTTATTGCATAACATCACTAATCTCTCGATTTTTATTTTTTTTCAATTTTTCAAACTCACATTAATGATAACGATTCTTACTTTGGAAGAGGAGCTGTTTTTCACGTTTGATATATGTTGAACCAGTGATGGAACTTTAGGCAAGCCAACACGGCGAAGGTTGTTTTCCATGCTAGGCCTACACCTGAAAAAGTACAGAAATTATTGAGTTTACTGACATGTGAAGGAGTCATTTAGCTCTAAAGGAATTTATTACATTAGACATACAAATAACAATTTCCGTTACAGAGGCTCTAACTCAGGAAGCAGAAATTTCACAAGAGAAAACACAAACGTAGAAAAAACGTGGTGAGGAAGCAAGAGTTTGCTTCTTCAGGGAAAATAAAGAGTGTGGAGAAGACATGCGTGAGAGATGATCGATGAGAGGGATTATATACAATGCAGGACTACGGTGGCCATAATATTTTTGCAGCCATTACGTCAAAAGCACTTTATTGGTGATAACAACAGCTGCTTATTTTGACAACGGCGTGGCCACATTAAAATACGAATATGGAAAATGTAGGTAGGTCAGATATGTCATACACCATATATGAGTCCATGAATACAGTAAAATAACCATAGAAGAAAAAGTTATGACTATACAAAATAATTAAGCTTCAAATTTCTAGCTCAGTGCATGTCGCAATTCTGTAGCCATCACCTAACATTTGAGTGATGTCAGGATTAAATATAGTACTAAAATGGAATAAAAAATTTCTTTTTTGAACAGGGTTCACCACTACCACTTAAGCTAACCCTTATTAGCAGAAATAACAGATATGGTAATATTCTAGTATTTTCCTCGTCATCTCCCAATACAAACCCAACATGGACCAAAAATTCAATCCTAGAGATTAAAAGAATACAAGTTTTATAACGGAAGTTGCAAGTAAATGGATATTAAAAAGACTAAAAGCTTTTGTAGTACACTCTATAATACAGTGACAGATACTTTATCACCACGGACAATCTATTAAAAAATAATATTATCACTATCAATACAAGAATTTGTTACAATACATAAGTTTAATATATTTATTTATAATTTTAGGAAAATAGTAAGTGCTTTTCTTCCCTCTCCTTTTCATTTGACTGAGCTATAATATATTTACTGAAGTTCAAACGTGAAATTAAAGACTTATATAATGGATATACATTAATAAAATATGTAACTTATACCAGAAAACCCATATCTAATGTATTGATTTGTTTATTGTGTATGATGTAAAAATTGTTTGTGCAATAAACTTCAAAATCTTTCCGTATTATATATATATATATATATATATAATATTATCAAGGTCGTAGGCAAAAAACTGATGGTTAACAACTGGCATCTTTCACTTGTATGCCAACAAAGGGATAAAGAAATAAATCTTTCATATGTTTTAAATGGTTAATTGATATGAAATAATAGAATTTTATGTTATCACAATATGAAATTGGGTTCTCTAGTTGTTTCCCAAATAAACAAAAAAAAATAGAGCATGGTTGTTTTGCTTCTCAATTTACTTCCACTGTTTAACAATTAATTTTTATCTTATTAAACTTTATCAAGTTTTAAAAATTACTTTGAAAAGAAACTAAAAGATAGAAAAACAAAAGAGATGTTCTCACTTTTTTTAGCATTTGTTATTTGCATATTCCAAATATAAATCTTATGTTTTGAATTTAATTTTCAGAGTGTGTTGCTGTGTTCTTTTTTTTATATTACCATCAATTAAAAAATTTCCCAAATTAATTTTCAAAATAATTCTTATAAATTAATAATACTATACATAAAATCTTCAATACTTTTCAATTAAATTTTTTAGCCATTTTTCATTTTCTAAATTTTAGTTTCTTTCATTAGGTATCTAACACGTACTAGCTAATTGTAAATCATTATACTATTATTATAAGTTTAACAAATGAAAAATGTTCCTTTTAACAAATTTTTTTACAACATTTTTACAATAGCTTATATAGTAGCTTGTGATTGATCCGTTTTAAATACACAGACCAATAAAACAGTGACACGTAATCTATTATAAAAAATTATTAAAAAAATTTGTTAAAATATCGGGGTTCTTAATAAATAGATATTTTATTTATGGAGAGACAACAAAATTATATGTATATATCGTGAGTTAGATTTTAGAGAAAAATAAAATTGTAAATATGTGCAATTTTGGTGATGTTAGATTGCAGTGTATATTAAGGCAAATTTTATCCATTTTTACTTTAACATTTTTTAATTAAAAAGGATAAATTAATTATTTGAGTCTTGAAGTCTAGTGATTAGTGAACCCCTCAAACCTAACTCGTCTAAATGTTTAATTATAAAAATTAGGTCTAATTTTTTCAAGAGATTTTTAAAATTTTATTGTTCAAAAGGGAGAGGATGATTAAATATTTGGAACATAGGCCGGTTTTAAATTTTGAAATTTTCTTTAAATTTATCTTTATCATGAAATCGCATTGATATTTGAACTAATTTAGTGTGAAAAAGAATATATAATTGAATGAAGCTTATTTAATAAATAAAAGCTGCCGCCTTACACACGCTGTTTGCAAAGTTCTAATAAATAGTTGCCTATCTCATGTGTCAATGAGACTTACATTTAAAGAAAAAATTATTGGAAATATAGATGTAAGTCAAAGACTCGTATATCTTATATTTCATGTAAAAAAAATATACAATTATTTTTTAAGATTAGATTAAAGTAATTAATTTTTTATATAAATTGAACTGATATATTTTAGATTTCCTTGATAAATCTTTTTCTCGAAAAGAGTGGTGTGGAGTCATAAAACTTGTTTTTGAGTATGATTATCAACTTTGACATGTGAGTTTGTGCTTTCTATTATTAAACTCGTCAAATTCAGGTGCGTGGCTTATGTGTAGGCCAAAATATTTTCCTCAATTACTAAAGAGTATAGGTTATCTGTCATGGATGAATCTACTTGGATAAAGTTAGAGGAATTTTTTTTCAAGAGTTTTCACAACAAACAACGATCTAAATAGAGGTGAAGATGAAATTAATAAATGACAAAGGATTATTCCTTAATTTCATAGAAGAAAAACCTAACAAAACATGAACAAGAGTCATTTTGATTCAAACTATTTATAATAAGGTAAGAACAATTATACTATAGGTTAAGAAATTAGAAGTATTTGTAATTTTTTTTAATTGTAAACAATTTATTTCTGTTTCTAAAAATTTTTAAGTTAATTTGAGTATGATATTTTTTAGTATATTTTTAAAACTTTTTAGATGGTTTAAATATTTTTGTGTAAATATAGAAATATCAAATACATGTATTTTTTAGTTTTATATGTATTTATATTTGAGAGAATATTTTGTTTAACTCTTATTTTTATTAAAAATTATAAATTTTTATTTAACTTGTTAATTTATTAGATTGAAAAATCTTCATTCTTATTCTTTTTGTATTTTTCTTTTATTTTATTTTTTTGTGTTTATTGAGAACTCAAATTAAAAAACAATACCACTCCAAAAGATCTCTTACTAAGGGATGTATATTATGTGTATATAAATTCATGTGTATTTCATATTTTATCCGATGTGGGACTTTATTTGTACCCAACAATATATACATGCATTACAGATCACTCGGTCATGTTACTGACTTAAGCGTCGGAGTGTCAAGTCGGAGTGCCTTTGACTGGTACCCGACCGCTCGGCTTGGAGAGCGAGGAGAGAGAACGAATACTACAACCAGGACTTGAAGACGAGAGAGTCTGTTCGGCCCTTCCCAACGCGTCCAGCCCTCAGCCAAGAGGTAACCGGCCGGTTTTCACCAGCTTCTAGTGTCCCCTAGAGACAGAGTCGCAACTTCCACCCAGTCTTCGACAAACTCTTGTGCGTTTTAACAGGGTCATACCAGATCCGACCGAAACAATATCTAATAAATTTTTACATCAGTTATTTTATTTATTTTTAATTTCCTTCTTTCCATAAAAATTAATTTTTTTAATAATCAAAATATCTTTAAAAAGTAAATTATGAACTTGTGACAATGCGTGTCAAAAAGACATCAATTTACAAATACATGTATCTCATCGGCTCTCATTCATGGCTAGAAAACAAATTTGAAACCCTGCATCTCAATGGCGGCGAGCTACTAGTCAAAATAAATTATATCAAATTTGAACATATTTTCATTTATTTTTTTTATTGTTTTATTGCTATGCAGTTTTGAAAATAGTTGAAGAAAGTTGTTAAGGATTTGTAATTTTTTTTTAAATTTGGTTTTTTAGTTTATTTCCATGCAGTTATTTACTTAAAGTAACTTTATGACGGCAGTTATTTGAATAATTTTAAAGATAATGAATCCTAATAAAATTCATAATCTAATTATAACTTTTTTTTAAAACTAAGAAGTTAATGTGTACAATGTAATAAAATAAATTTAGTTTTATTTTAATATATTTAAAAATATTTTATAAAATAAATTTTAAATTAAAATAAAAATATTATAAATTTGTATTATATAAATTATGATATTGGCTGTCAAATTATATAAGTAATAAAGTAAAAAATTTTAATATCATTTTATTAAGAGAATTACATTTGTTAAAAAAATCATGATTATTTATCGATTAAAGTTAAGGATTTTTAAACAATGAAAAGTGTTATTTTTAATAAAATAATTCTAAATTTTAGAAAATAATTAAATTTATGAAATAAAATGTGATAGAGACTTCACTCATACCAGATTTCATGCACTAATTCAATATAAAAATATTGAGTTACCTTTAATTAAACTATAGCGTTCACATTTCGAGTTAACAAACTTAATTTTTTTAGTGACAAATCTAAATCCTGTTAATAAAAACCTTAATTTCTTA